ATAGATTTTTGTACCCCTTTAAGAAAGGTACAATCAGGATAGAAGGTCGTCATCACACTCTGCCCAATGTTTGTTATCTTTGTGTTGTACGACAAAAGAAGAGAGTAAAAACGTGAGGCTCAAACGCCTGTTAAATATACATAACATGTTGATGTGGAACGTGTGGTTGCTTGTTAAATCTCTACCTCTTACTCCTACGACCTTACAGACTTTTCTAAACATATAACCAATTTGATTTCGAGTCCTACTTTGCAGCCATACATTATGCTCTTTTAACATTTTTCTTAACAAAGATACCCAGTAAGAAGATCACACATGTTCTTTACATGGTAAAAAGCTATATATCACAAGGTTTCGTTTCTATTCGGTTATTTGGTGATTTCGAAATCAACAGATGGTATGTTTAATAAGCACTTACTTGAAGACCTTAAGGTTCTTGTAGGGTTTGAGAAATCAATCATTTTTTGGATGTATGTGGAAGATTTGTTGTTAAGGGCTGTAACATATTTCAAATTCAATTCGCTTTTTTAATTCAATTGAATACAGTTACACTTTACAATATAAGAATTATTGGTGTGGTTAATCTTTCATAATTTTGTCAGATGAAGGAACAAGTGGTGTAGTAACGTGTAGAAAAAAAAACGAATCGATCATCTTCATCCGCATATCAACCAAATCCTTTAAAATTATTGATGAATGCTAGTGCAGTTATTGCATAATATACATTTAAGATCCAATATATCAAATAACCGTACAGAATTTGCCCCTTCCCAAGTAAGTAAGTAAGTAACCTGAAAGTAATATTCATTCATACTATTTAAAGGGTAACAATGAAATGAATCAGAAGATGATAGTATTGACTTGTAGATTAGGTATGTCCTGAATAAATAATCTTTTATGAAAGATATTGTTTACATTGGTTATTATATCTACAATATAGAAGTAATTTCACACAATTGTCAATGTAAATATTGTGTAATTAAAGCTATTTTTGGTACTATATTTAGAAACAGCAAAATGAAAATGTACGCATACAGTCATCCTTAATCCTGAAGTCATTTTTGAATGTTCTCTCTTTTACATTCAGTTGTGTTATACAATAATATAATATTTCACTGTTGATTTATACAATATTTATTACAATGAAAGCATTTGCAATGACATGATATAATTTACAAACGATACAGAAACAAGCTAAGTAGCTTATATTAATCCGCCAAGTGGTATAAGCAATATTGTAATAAAAATAATAATAATAAACAAGTAAATAAATGAATGAATAATCGTGGGGTCCACTGGTATTTTCAATATAATCATTAATTCATAATAATGTAAGCCCGAAATAGCCTTTCCTATCACAGTCTCTGACAGCTCCACCTGGCGTTTGTCCACTGGCAGTTTCCAACTGAAGTCCCCAGAGGCCGTAACAGGGGCAGGTATTTCGGACTAAGATATTGTCTGTTGTTCCTGTGTGTGAGAGTATATATATCAGTTCAATCGTCAAATCTCTTTGACAGACTGATGTATGAATGAACAGTATTGAATATAAACTTATTCATATCCTGGGATATATCAGGGTTGCCGTATAGTAATACGGACGATGATCTGTAAGTTGGGGGTAGGAGGTTGATTGTTTGATTTCGAACAGTGGAGTGGTTGTTACAATACAAAAGATAATGCTCAGGGTCTTCAAAGATATGACCACATGAACACGCAGGAAGAGGAGATATGTGCATTAGGAATTTATGACCGTTAAGTTTGCTTTTACTGTGGTGTAATCTGGTGTGGATAATTTGATTTTGTCGGTTGCCTGTATAGTAATGATTTGGGACGTCAAGATTTTTTAATGATTTTCGATAGGTTTGTCTTGAATTTAGAAACTAACTTTGAATATTCCACTGTTAAAATAGTGCCCAATATAAATAAATTGTACAGCGATATAGAAATATTAAACGGAACTTGAATATGTTATTAATGTAACACTATGCAATCTTCAGACAACTGACCTATTTTCAGCCTGCTTCCCTACAAAGTTGGACAAGTAGAACTTATTCTCTTTTCTACATTTCGAGAAGTTCAGAACGTTTGTGTTATATAGATATCGTGATTCTGCCACTCTGATTTCTCTGCTCTCTTGTTGCTATAACTATCGACCAATTCCTTGCAAAAGATTGTGTTCTGGAACGATGCCAGATGATTCTTCTGGTTTTGTTTTTGTTTATCAACAGCAGACTATTTCCCGAAGAATACCTTTCAACTTTTTTAATAAATTCAGACCACTATAGAAAATATACAAGTGATATGTCTCCAACATTTAAAAACTCTAATCGTGGTTTATCTTTGATCAATATGTTAATTGGTGAAACTGATTGGTGTGAGTTGGTTTAATCATTGCTGCACACCTTGAACTCAAGTGTCACAGTATGGTCGGATACTAGCATCTGACTGAATGAAAATAAATAATATTTGGCCCCAAAAAATTGTTTTCACAATGAAATTTCTGCTGAAAGTTTCAAGATTTAAAGTATGTCCACTCATGGATGCGACATTATTGCCAAAAGTAATCGAATTTGCTGCACATCTTTATATATGAATACGAAAAAGTACTGAAACATTCGGCAATTATCGGCAATTTACGTAAAGATGAGTGCTGTAGAGTACAAGCTGTGGACATTATTGTCCTGTGGTGTACAATGGAATGTTTAAATAAATATCATAATTGTTAAAAAAATGTTAACATGTTTATGAGTAATGTTTTTTCCCTACAGATATATATTTCCATTAAACAATTAAATACATAGTAAACCTAAATTGAAGACAAAACACGCAAATCTAAAGCTATTTTTTAGATAGGTCCTTAATTTCAATCGAATGGTTCGTTGTAATTGTGATCAATATGATTAAAATAAATAAATAAAGTAAAAATTGTAAACATGTTTCCAGGGAAGAAATATACAAACATACCTTTTGAGAGCTTGATACGACCTTTGTAGGAATTCACTTTACTTAATTCACAACTAATAAATGGTATAATAATCTGATTTATAAACTGTCAATATCTGCCCTGTTATTAAGATTTAAACCTTCGTTTTTTCTTTATATTTTTAATTATACAAGTTCCACACCCCCGTTTGCTTTGGGATATTCCACCTGGTAGTACGTCACAATGAGGAATCCCCCTTTAAATCAATAGATGACGTGTTTTATGTTTACTGAGCAACACCTTGAAGCGAGTTCAAGTGTTTTAGAGATGTCACGAATTTACATGGTAACACAAAAAAGAGAGCAAACGAATTTCAAGAATTCACTAGTTACTGTTACTAATAAATGATCACAATTGACTGAAATGTTTTCTATGTCGAGGTATACGATGTCGATCATATAAGGCCGTAAAAGTGTTCAAACGATAAATTGATCAAAACCAAGAAGATATGGGTTATGTTAATGAAATCGGTTAAAAGAAATTGATTCTTCTTAAAATTTCAATATTTGAACCTACTAAAGTATTGTAAAGATTTAAAACAACTTCTTGGTGTCAAAGTTGACGTTTGACGAGTTCCACTCCACAAAATAAACTGTGTATTGTATTATATTTTGGACTACTCATATTCATCCAAGCAAAGCCTCCCAGTAAAATATTAAAAAAAAAATCTCAAGTTGAAAATAATTTAATTATGAATATTGTAGTTATTAATAGAAAAAAGGATGAGACTACATAAAGGCAAGAATTTTGAATTATTTACTCAAGGTTTTGAAGTTACATGGTAATTGAGAAAAGGGTGGAAACTATGTCACTTTTTGAATACAAAAATGAATAGGCATGATATAGAGGAGTAACCCTAATTATAATATCATATTGTGATTATTATACATTGATCATCTGCCAAATAGACAAAGATACACGCGAAGCGAAAAAAAAGAGAATCCTGGTGTGGAATGAGAATCTAAGTTGCACAACTGCTGTTTTTGTTTGGCGCAAAAGTGTTAGCAACTTCAGTCATTAATATTAACGAGAACTTATTTGCAAATACATATAATATGCAAATGTGCTTTGAACGTAAATAATTGAAGAATGATATTTTGGAACATCTCTGTATATCACTGTCTAATGACGTGGAATGGACATATCAGAATAATATGTGAGCGCCGAGAAAATTGGCATTGGATGGTTGAAGGTATTCGACATCTTTTATATTGATTATGGCATAGACCAGGCGAACATCGGAGGGTAGACAGATAGGGTGACAACAACGTAGTTAATATTTGGCACAACCAATGAAAAATGTATACAGTATACAATACGATTATATTTTTATACGTATAATGTTATAACAATTATTTCGATTTCGCATCCAAATAGCAATGTTTCATAATTCTTTCTGATAATCCAGGACTGTACTTAAAGGGAGACAATTCCATCTTTGTCATATGCTACATAAAAGCTCATTCTTGTAAAGAGATAAACAAATAAACAGTTTTCATCAAAAGAGTGAATATGCAAACCAAATTGAGAGCACATATTACAAGAAAGACTTCTGTAGTATTGAATTAATAAGTGATCTAAATGGGCCACCATACATCATAGACAATCTTTTTGATTAACAAGACAGTGATTAGTGTTTAATGCTTCATAGGCAGTGTGTGCTTTAGAACGTTTGTCATTGTGGCCTCATTTAGAAATATATCTATAACCCCGATAACAAAGGCCAGCCTAAAAATGTTTTACACTATATGAAAAACAATTCGTTGCCTTAACAAGTGTTTATAATTTAAAGCCTATGCAAGCGTTCGACATATTATCTTGAATATTTATGTCGACGAAGTACAAATAACCGCGCATGTCGACATATATGCTTAGAGTAACAGTATTTTGATAACCTGTATAATAATGTTACTAAAAATAGACTATATTGAATGTTATCAGTATGACGAGTTGTAAACTTAAGTTTCTGCGGCGATTGACACACTTACAAGTTTTCTGTCGTCCTTTCTCATCCACGATGGCTCAAACTCAAGAATCGGTTGTCAAACGAGAGGAGTTTCATGCATTTGTTGTACGGTGTATGGAATCTGCTGGTACAAAGACAGATCACGCCAAAAGTCTTGCCAATCTGCTGGTGGCTGCCGACTATAGAGGACATTATAGCCATGGTTTGAATCGACTGGGTAAGTATGTCGGCTACAATACTTGGTTGTATGGTGGACCATATATGACATGTTGATTACTTATCTATAAGATACAAGACTCATGCTGCTGTATTTAGGATGCAAAATCCTTCTCAGGAAGCTAATCTTTGACTTTATTTCATTATGAAATACTTCCTCATTTATGATTGATATACCTTCTTAAAATAAAAGTTCAATAGCTGCTACCAATGTTTTTTTTTTTTTTTGGGCTCTGTTTTGCAGTTCGGAAAGTACTTGAGTTTTCTAACCTAGACGGATCCAAATTTCGAACTTATTGTAGACATAACTATCCGAAATAGTGTAATGATTAATCATTCAATTAATAATGCAAGTGTAGGATTTATAAGAACGGTACATTGTATTAATTCTGTAAAACAAGCAATGTTTCAGCCACAACATTTACAGTCCTCGCTTAATATCAAACGTAATATAAAATTAAGAAAAGCACTCACTTAAATTCTAGAATTCACTTTAGTCCAACACAGCGGATAAATTTCAATTTTAAAGCTCCAACTTTTCTTGAAATGAAATTATTGGGCATTATTTTGAATATATACTTTATATATCATATATTTCCGCTAAAGGAAGGTTCCTCACGATTTTTAAAAATACATTAATGTAATGTAATAATGTTTAATTGTTATTATAAATGACCATTCTTTGTCGTCTTATTTAATGGAAAATGTCAACTGGATTTCGTGTTGTTAATAGCTATTTAATTGGTCTGGACAATATTTTGTAACTAGAAATCATCGGCCATTCTTAAATAGCAACAGTTAAAATGCTTTCCTCCCTCAATAAAATTCTATGTAGTATTTCCACTCCTAATATATACATTAAAAACAGTGTCCATTAATGATAAAAAGTTAGCTTACATCACATAAATAGGATAAGGTACAAGACGTATGTCTACTGAACATATAAAATATGTTGTAGATATGTATGTAAGTGACGTTGAAAATAAAATGGCTTGCAGTGATAAAGAACCAACTATAACTAAAGAAACTGTCGCTACAGCCTTAGTTGATGGCCATAATCTTTTAGGTAAGCAGATTCACTCTTACGAGTTTAAAAAACAAAACATATACTATTGGAGGATTCTTACCTCTACAATTGCAATGCATTGCAAACCTATTGAGGCTGTTTATACCACTCAGAAACACCCTCAATACTGTCCGTAAGCCCTTTGAGACACTTTTATTACCTATTGAATCTCTACGAAGTAATTACCGACCCATCATGATGTAAAACTAACATGTTTTTCTCATATTTAGGTCCAGTAGTTGGTAAATTCTGTATAGACTTAGCTATAAAGAAGGCAAAAGAAGCCGGTATTGGTTGGGTGGCATGTAATGGTATATATGTTTATATTTAGTTATATTTGAATAGGGTAGTCTTTTATTATTTTACAAGGGATGTGTGTACAAGGTCAAGAAACACTCTAATGGTCAGAATGATTATGCAGAAAATTAAATGAATATTCGCTTAAAGATAAGCGGTAGACCTCAGAACTGTAACAAACTGAATTGCAATATACCGCATAATCAATTATATTTTTCACATTTTGATAAACCAGTTCTGTTACTTTTTACAGCTTCAAATCATTTTGGCATAGCTGGATGGTACAGTATGAGGGCCACAGAACAAGGACTTATAGTAAGTTTTATATTGAGTTGATCTATTTAGACAGAACAGAATATTCTGGTTGCAAAACGAAAGTTGGCTATGAAATATGTAGAAGCTCATTTCTCATTTGAATATTTTTTTTTATTTCAGGGAATGTCCTTTACAAACACATCACCATTCATGGTACCAACTCGGGCCAGAAAGGTAAGGTGTCTCTACTTTCTATTTGGTTATTGAAATTATTGAGATTCTTGCTAAGAAATGCATCAGGCTCAATATATTCTTTGCCTTTTTACTTGTTAATGTTTCCAACAAGATTGGCAATAGAAACTACCGAGCTTAATGAAGTATGAACTTTAAGATCAATTAAAATTTTATTTCTTTTATTGTAGGGAACTTTAGGAACCAATCCCATATCAGTAGCAGCTCCAGCCAATAAAGGTGACAGTATGGTATTAGATATGGCTACGACTGCTGTAGCTTTAGGCAAGGCAAGTAACCTGTTATCTTTTCAGTGTGTTAAGATTCCCGGTAAAGTGTGTAACGGTATGAACTTTATGAAAGCCCTCAACAAATTCTGCTAGCAACATTTGTTCTCGCCGACAATCAAGCATATAAAGAGTTTCTATTGTTGACTATTTGATTACATCCGTATATTTTACCTATACTTTGTGTATTTTCTCATTTCCGGTGGTAACAGTCCTTATTAATTAATCGTATGAGAGTCATTTCCCGAATATACACAATCTGTTAGATATATAACAAAGCATTTTTCCATTTTGGTCTCTGGATATGTTTTATTTCCACATTAATGTTGAAGAGGTATCTGTTTGTATTACTAAAGGTTGAGATAAATATGAGAAAAGGTTTGGATATTCCAGAAGGCTGGGGTTGTGATAAGGGTGGAAAGGTAAGACATGTACCTATGAATCCTCGATTTAACTTATTCAAATTTTGAAATTAAATTTTGAAGCCATTTGGAATCCTATCAAGTTCTAAACTCAAAGCATTTAGAAGAGTCCTTTCCTATTAAATGTTCCAGAGGAAAATACTATTTTGATGTTTGATTTCTCCTTGTCGCAGGTTACAACAGATGCATCACGAGTAATGGGCGGAGGTGGACTGATGCCGTTAGGTGGTGCTGAAACTACAGGTGTGTATCAGTTAAAGTCCCAATTTGTTATCGAAATGTTTTCTTTTTTATCGTTTTTACACAGGCACGCAGCTTCAACTGCACATGTACACATGAATATAAATTGCAAAATAGAAATTTTCGAAAAATAGCTGTTAAACAATTTCGAAATTTTGTAACACACTCTTTTCAACCGAATTTTGTAATTTTTTGCCATCCTTTATTATTTTCGTTGATTTTTTGTGATTGTTTAGAAATTTTCGGCACAAAGGCAGATCACAAATGTTAAAAAAAATCGTAAAGTTTAAACATTTACATCAATTCCGGGAAATCTATGCAAACTTCCGGTTGACCCTCTTTTGTTTGTAATTGACATATGTCAACGAAACTTGTAGTGCCATAGGTCAATGTCCGACGTTTACCTCCGGTTAAACGACCGTATGAATTTTGAAGTTTTGTGGATTATATGTCATGAAATTGAACTGTGTTTACCTCCCCCTTATCAAGGTTGACCTTAATTAATTACTGTTACTTCTATATGTGATATCACGCGTTTTTATGTTTTAAAACCTTCTTTATAACTTTTGACTGCTCTGACACGTGACCTAACTAGCCTACAGAATGGATTATTTTAAGATTCTGTAGCAAATTGGAACATTTGCAAAGTCCCTCTCCGTACCACGTTTGTTATTATAATTCAATTCTGCCCTAAAAAATACAGAGCACATTTTGTGCATGATGATTAGAGAATAAAGTTCATAAAATGTTTTCTTTTAAGATAATTTGAAATCCAAAGTAAAGATTATATTCGTGAAACAAACGTCTTTGGCCTTATTAAAATTCTTTAAATTTCAGCTGGTTATAAAGGTTATGGTTTGGGTATGATGGTTGAGGTATTTTGTGGTATTCTGGCCGGAGCACATTATGGATCTAATGTTCGGTCTTGGTCTTCACACACCGAATTGGCTGACTTGGTATGGTTATCTCTCCATATTTTGAATACAATACAGTTATAAGCTACCTAAATAACGCGATATCATTGTAATTTCGTAAAAATACACCATGCTCAAGTCCTGAATGGACAGGCCGTTCAAAAACATGAATGTCGTGTTCTATTGACTTCATTCTACATTCCACTCATCCCTTTTCGCACACTAGAAAATTCGTACCTTCCAGCCAGCAAGTTTTTGCACTGGACACAGATGCAACCTAATAACGTCTCTTTCTGTCGTCGAGTGAATATAAAACTAGTTTATGTTTGTAGGGCCAGTGTTTTGTTGCAATCGACCCATCAGCCTTTGCTCCTGGATTCACGGATAGAATGAGTGATTTAATAGACACGTGTCGAGGATTAGATCCTGTAAGTATAAGTTATAGTTTAGTTGATGCAACTATTGTATGGTAAACTTGTAGATATATTTCATTCAGATCAGGTCTTTGGGATAACCTGGATTCAATCTTTCGATCTTTTTTTGTTATTGAAAAGAGTTAACATAATTGAGAAGCAGCGATATCACTCTCAATATCCAGTGTAACTGGTAACATTTCTCTTCCTTTTTTTAATTTAGGCTGAAGGCGAAACAGAAGTTATGGTACCAGGTGATCCTGAAAGAAAACATATGGCTAAATGTGACCAGTTGGGTGGTATCCCCTACCATCCTAATCAAATCACTTATGCCGTAAGTATTTCTTTATTGCATTGAACTTATACTTAGGCTTTTGACAAAATCAATATGATTCACCTACATACCTAAATATGGAAAAGATCTTAGAACAATATAGTTATGTCACTGGATCTCTGTTTTACAATGGTTTTTATTTCCAGAATGAATTGGCGAAAAAATTGAAAGTGGAACCAATGAAGACTTTATAGTGGTCGCCTGGTTTGTTGAAATGAGCTAGCGGATTAAATGCGAACGTTTTTGGACGGTTTTTCACAATTATTGTTAAGATATTCCAATTCTACATCTAGCCCCATACGAAACTACGTATGGTTCTTATATGGAAATAACACACACGAACGTAGTTCATTACCAAAGTCTTCTTCTACTTCATAAGTTGAATTTTTAAGAACTGCTATTATATTTCAACAAAGCTTTCAAATCCCACTTGAAACCATTTCCAAGCCTTTACATGTGTTTTGAAGGCTTAGTTGAAATTTGTAGCTTTTCTTTAAAATTAAGTCGAGTAAGTGATTTAGAATGGTTGTGAACCACGCTCGTATGTGTTATTTCCATGTAAAACCTGTGCTCTGGGTACTGCAGTCTGAAATTTTCGTCATTTTTTTTATGTTTCAAGAAGGCTTTATCAATTAGATATACAATTCTTACTAGCTCTATCTTATGAAACTATGCTGTTGGTTTGTATTTGAATAATGATTTGATTAATTTATATTGATTAAATATCAATTGATTAATTAAAAGTTTGGTTAATTGGGTGTACTAAATTGTAAGTCTTCATTATCATTTAAATTAATATTACAAATTCATATTTGTTTATTAGATATTACAGTTATCTAACTGAAATATCTAATATTCATTAAAAATTACTTCTTTTGTTGATTAAATGTTGATTTGTTTCAAAACATTGTATTGAATTTTCTAATAATGTGTCATTTCTGAATGGGATTATTGACCAATTCAGATAATTTGGGGCAACTGACAGAGTCCGCGAATATCTTGATACCATTTTAGTTAATGATGTCTGCATGTTTACAGCATTTGTCCTCGTTCGGGAAATCTACACTGGACTGACATAATCTGACAAAAATATAATCGTTACGCACTGGAAAGCAGAGTCGTAAACATGTTCAATTCAACGGGAATATTTCTTGTTGGCTGTGATCTGTGAAAAGAGTTACTTCCCTTCATCTGTCTAAAAACGAAATCTGTTGCTACGAAGGTGCCATTGTTACATCGGTCTTTATCGGTCTTCACAGATCCCAAAGATTTATAACTGTTGAGAGGACGGATGTATACAACATGCAGCAATGTACTATACTAGAAGACGGCGACACTGGATTTATTATAATTCCACACCGAATTGGTCATTTCTTTTATTCGAATGAAGTAATATGAACTGAATTGTTGATAAGTTAACCTGTAAATCTTGGATAATATGAATGGTATATGGACTCACTCCACTAAAATATTTTATGCAAATGATTGTCTACTAGAATTCTTCTTTCTCTCTTCCTTTTGGGGTTTTTGCACGCCTATTTTCGAGTAATTTTTGGTTTAAATTTCAAATTTGATGTCTGAAATTGCATTATCAGGTGAGATGATGAGATACCTAAAGTAGTAGCTCAAATTTCTCATGGTCATCATATGTTGAATTTTTTAGGAGGCATTAAGGATTGGTTAGACTTTCATTCGACATATTGGAAAGTTTTTAAGGATATTTCTGGAGAAGTCGAATTTCGTATTTTAACATGGGAAGAGATGGCAAATGAATTAGTGGTGTGAGTCAATATGAAGTCGTAAAATAAAAGATGTAAATGATTTTTAAAAGTGACTAATTGATTTTATTGTGCTGAAAATAATTAATCATAGAAATAAGTGGTAGCAAAAACAGGAATAAAGAGCCATGTCTTGGTCACTATAGACATTGTTTTCATCTTAACGATACTCATACATCCTTATGCAGATCTGAAAAAAATTGTAGTCTTATATGGTGGAGAACATTACAGTAGATTGGATTGGTGTGTGATTGGTGTCTGAAGTTTCACCCAGGAGAACAATCATTGAGACAATTTCGACCATATTTGTCATCAAACAATCAAAGCTTGGTGAAAATGACAGAACATAGAGTACCATGACAAACTCAGATCATTGATTACAAGATTCTTAATAGTTGATTCTAGTATGGACCAATATTGATACCAGCTTCATCTTATATCCATCTGGTGTTTCCAATTTATACCCGTGACTCATACAAGTCAATCTTACTAAATATTAAACTGGACGCAAATTGTATTGCCTTTTTGTTTAAACTTTGGTCTTTGTTGACCAGTTTTCATTTTCTTTGGTATCATCTGTAAGTGACATCGTCTCGTTTTAAAGTCATTTTAAAGTGATATTATTATGCAACATAATGGTTGCATTAACTTACAATTCCGCGCTATTTGCGTAAGTATAGTGTTCTCTATTCGAACTCAATTCATGAAGGGAAGATTGACTTTGATAACTTGATTACTAACAATGATATTTACCATTTTTCAATATTGAAATATAATATGATATAATTGAACATCCAGTTCGATTGTTCTATGACCCCAGTGTTAAAGATGAGAAGCCATTACGTCCAGTAACGTACTTAAGAAAACATATTTGGAATTAATGTAAGTGTCGAGGCAACCAATGCAACTTTATCTGTAACCATCATTGCGAAAATAATCGAGTTGCACCTTACTTTGAGGCACAGTAATTGAATTCATGTCGACTACTAATGACAAGCAAGCATTATGTTAAAAGATTTTAGGGAAATCGTGCGTTGTGGAACATTTCTAAAATCAGTTTTATTGACCTTGTCAGAAGGAATAGCCATGGGCACATGATAAACTCTTTGGCTTGAATACCAATGAAGACAATGTAACAACTTTTGATCTTGTCTGTAACGTAGTCAATTGTGTTTGGATTTCGATATTTGTTCAGTTCCTTACAGTCAATTTAATGAAATGAATGCCTCCTTCAAGATCTTTTAAAGGTCAGCTAGTGGTCAAGGGCTTCGATATCATCGGTTCTTATTTACACATGCTGTATTTTGATCTTTAGATGGTCGATAATATTATTGAATTGAAGTAAGTCATAGTCAAACAATAATATTGACATTGGTGTTCAAGATACTCATTATAAGCATCGATTGGGTACCTCGTTTTCAGCAGACACCATTGATTGGCTTGATTTATAGACAAATGTGACATCATTAATAGAATACAGATTGACAGCCCATGTAGATAAATTGTCAAAGTTTTGATCTGATTTATAGAGGGACAAAATTGACACTTCACCGAAGCTTCTTTACCAAAAAGTTGTCTATTTGTTCTCTTTACATCAATGTACCAGATTAAATGAAATGAAATGAAATGAATGGAGTTTTACGTCCTACTTTTCTGCACCATGTGGGCTAATGAAGACGGGCGACGCCATGCAGGGTGCAATGAGGGAAATTTTGCCAGGACAGCGGCATTAGCCTGCTCTTTTTCGATTTCCAACTGTCGAGTGATCTTTAACGTGCACAGCCTGTAGCACACGGGGCCTCGGTTTATTGTCCCATCCGAACGACTAGACGCTTTTTCCATGTCAGCCCCTCTTACCTGCATCACTGACGGGGGAAACCGCGTGTACCAGATTAAATGGGTAGATCTAAAATCCCAACTAGCTGGCACATCAAATATTCAAATTTCATAAGAGTGACAGGGGTATTTATGCTGCACAAATCCCAGATTGAGTGAGTTAAGACTAAAGCCGGGAAATAAATCAGGTCACGAAATGTTATGTGCACTGGAATACCACGTCGACACATGGGAACCAAACAGAAAGCATTAAGTAAGTCGTAAGTAATTAATGAGCTTCGAGCGAAATGTTACGCCATAAAATTTCCAATACGCGTAAAATGACACGTGCTTTGTTATAGGTTTTTTCAGATTGTGTTACACGAGATCAAGTGAGCGCTTATCAGTTTCATGTGATTACCACCAAAGAGTTCTCGAAGTCAGTTAGTTTTTGGGTGCCATAACCGTAAATGGATTTGAAAATGTTTAACCATTTTCAACATTAATGCCATGGAATCAGTACTTGTTGAGTACTATCTCCTAATTTTTGCCAAATCACAATCTGGAACCAGCAAACATGTTCAAAAATGGTAAAGCCACGAAAAGATTAAAATTATGTTGGGAAAACCTGGTTTAACTAGCATAATAATATGAATAATATACAGCTGCTAATGCAGTGTCAGTCAGTACCTCGTAACAATGTTCTGTGTGATCAAATTTCATCGTAAGCAATTTCTGAACTTAGTGACCGGACTGTACACATGCCTTTGAGAATGTTCTCCCATATTTGGGTGGAAGTTAACGATTAATTTCAAAGATAACATGTGATGTGTTGTTGTTGTTGATGTAAAAGAATGTTGCATTTCAAAAACATTATTACATCACGTGCCAGGAATTGAAAATATATGGAATACCCCGAAAAATACGCTTCATTCATGTAAGTTAAAAATGATAATAGAGTACAGCACGCACTGTCGTTCAGATAATTGGAATTTTTAAAATGAATGTTAAGCTTTCGTGTATTCTATTTGGCACAGTGTCCGCTGTTGATTGTAATGGACGTTCCCTGTAGATAAAAGTATCGTGATGCTGCCAATTTAAAACAAAATCAGCACAGTGTAGAAATCTTGTATGATTATGTGATAAATGAAGCCTCAACTGTGATGAATTTAGCAATTGTTTTCACAATTATACCCGCTATGTTTTCCGACACAAATCAAGGATAATACATAAAAATCACAAAACTATAATAGAATAACTTTGGTTTCGAGAATATTAGTTATTTACAATATAATACAATATAAAACCTCACATACAGCTGATGTTTCCCATGTTGCCATGATAAATAAATGCAATATCTGTAGAGAGAGAAAGCAGATGAAGTGAAGGTCAATTAATTCAATATTTTCATCTTGAACAAAAATATAAATTCCACGATATCAAATGCATACTAGTAGAGAAAACGCACATTCCATCTTATATTATGTATTGGAAATATAAAGGTCAATAATTTATGCACCTGGCGCGGTTTTACAGAGTAAAACAGCTAAGCAATCGGCGCGTAAAGACTTTTTTAAAAATGAAAATGAATCGCGCATTTGTAGCGATTGCCGCTTGCGAAAATTTGTATTTGATATTTTCATATCCAGGGAGAAATTTACGCTAGGCGTAAAAAATGACAAATCCAATCAGAGGGTGATTGTTCATTGCGTGAAAGACTACAGATTCTTATGTGGACAAACAACTCTTCAAATTCCGTGCTACTCTTTCTGAAATATTGATGTTATCTTTCAACATCTGATTTCAGGTCCATGACCAAATAATGATATTCACCAAGTTGTCCTAGTTTTCGACTGAAAATATGAATCCAGTAGAGATGTTTTCTCCTCATACGGCGCTGTTTAGGAGGAGGAATATGTTGAAAAACAGTCACGCGACCCGAATTATTCGGTCACGCGTTCGCTTTCTAGCTAAACTCCGCGCTCATTTGGGTTAAGTTCTGGTGCACGTTTCGTGATGGTGCGATAATTTGTGTTAGTGGCAGCCGATATTCGTCTGCTGTCAGTGTGTTTTCTCCGCTAAAATCTTTTTGAAACGGTTGGATTTGATATGACATGTATTCCCGGAAGGATTAAATTTTACGGATACTGGAAAAAAATTAATCACCTTGTGCGTATAAACGATTTCACTCTCTGTGTCATTAGCCTGTTATTGTTTTGTTATCCAATTCAGGTTGGTTGAATTTAGAAAATTATCATATTTACAGATAATCCGTTAGCGACATTTAGGCGTAGAGATTGCTTAAATAAAGTTGTAAATGTTGTACACGTTTAAAAACCATTTTCACCTGATGAAGATGTTAATCGGTCCGTTATTTCAAATGAAGATAATGTATCACTTGTCTGGTTTTCAATTTCAGACAAGAAAAATTAACTGAGGACGGACTCAGGTCGGCCTTGCGACTGGTCAATCTGTATGCAAAGGGACTTTCCACAAATTTTAGCATCTGGTTGAATCTGATGAATCGATAGATTTAGATGACTGCGGAAATATCCAATTGAATTATGTTGTCGACCAGTCGCAATCTGTGACCAGACAGATATTATATTATGTAAATATCTTGATACGAGCGTTTCGCTTTACGACCGCGACAGATTCAAGGAGATGTTTGAAGCACGGTAGAACTGTTGATCTCATGTACATAGCTTAGAATATTACTACCGACACGAATTGATATATCTCTATAATTTTGTCATGCAGCAGTTTGACATTCAGCGAACATAACATTTAGTTGGTATCAATAAGCAAATGTTTTACGCCTACCACTTAAGGATACACTCTATGATACCTTGTATTTATTGTTTAAATGACAAGATTGTTGTCGTTTTTGTATTATATAACTGTCGAAATCACTTAGCTTAATGATTTGATAGTTGTTAAATTACACTTGGTATTGTATTTCTAATATTCTATAAAGTAGTAACACATCAAATTTGTTATTGTGTGTGTGTGTGTTTGAAATTTCTTTTTTTAGATTAATCGCGTTCAAACTGATTTTGGTAGGGATTACTAGGTCCAAACAAATATAAATATTATCACAAGGGAAGCAATTTTAAATAAAGCAACTTTATACTTGTGTACAGAAATTTCGCAATATATGATAGAAAGATAAACTTTGGGATAGCCGCCGAATTTTAATTATCTACTTTGCAAAGTCAATAATATACGGAGCCCCTAAGGCGCAATTGTAAACATATTTATTTATTATTTCGTTTAAACGAAATAACTAATTCGTTAAAACGAAATAATTATTTCGTTTAAACGAAATAAAAAGATGGTTTAATTATTTCGTTTAAACGAAATAAACGATGTTATTTCGTTTAAACGAAATAATTATTTCGTTTAAACGAAATAATAAATAAATATGTTTACAATTGCGCCTTAGGGGCTCCGTAATAATAGGACTAAAAATAGTGACACATGATTTGTTGAAGGTGATTCATCTAAAGATCTGAGATCAACTGATTACTTAACAATTTCTCGTGATAACGTCCTAGGAGTTATCTAATATCTGTGGTCTCTGGGTACAAGAGGACACTTTCAATTTTATTTTGGGCCCGAGACATTGTACACCAACCTGTTTTCATTTGATGTCTACAAATGGTAATCTTACTAAGACTTACCACGTCGTCCTCGTGTCTATTATAACGCTTGCTCGCTAACCTGAAGGTCCAGGGTTTAATCCCGGCATAGGTCGAGATAATACCTTTGGATTTTTCAACCCGGTTTCCCCCAGTCAGTGATGCAGGTAAGAGGGGCTGACATGGAAAAAGCGCCTAGTCGTTCGGACCATAAACCGAGGCCCCGTGTGCTACAGGAAATCGGAAAAGAGCAGGCTAATGCCGATGTCCTGGCAAAATGTCCCTCATCATACCCTGCATGGCGTTGCCCATCTTCATTAGCCCACATGGTGCAGAAAAGTAGGACGTAAAACTCCATTCATTTCATTTTCATTTGGCAAAATTAATTATGCTTGTGATATTCATTAATTCATGTGTACCATATTATGACAAATTAATTTGTGTAATACGCCTCAATATTTTTAATAAATTTATTCATTTGAAATAATAGTCATATAACTATATATGTACAAGGCTAAAATGATGCTATATATGAATAGAGAATTGCAATGGTTTGTAGTATTGTCGCATACTAAAAAACAAATAAATAATAATAACAATAAAATGATCGAAAAAATGGTTCAAGATATACACGTTGCTTAGCAAATAATTAGCATTTTGAATTTTTGAAAATTCATTGTTTCACATATTTATAATAAGCACCGACTCTCAAGAGTTCACATTGTGGTAAGTTAACGCTCTAAATGCCGTATCCTACTCCAAATGCTTTTATATAATCAATGGAAGAACGGCTCGCTGACTAGCTCCGTTATTGCTTTCGGCACAGCTTTTTTTTAAGTTACCACAACATAATGTATGTTTCTTTTGGCATAACAAGTTACGGAGGGCACCAATATCCAACTATCCACACAGCTTTTTCAATTGTTAATCGTTTGATTTCGCGTAATTTTTGAAAATGCTTTAAACTTGGTTTTATCATTAGAATAGTAAATACACATATTGTATGGCACTAAAGAAGTGGAAACATCAGCAAAACGAGAAGAATAACCAAAACGAAATATATCACTTTTTATAAACAAAATCAATTTACTTTTTTATCGTTCAGCGGGGCCTTTTCTTTTTAGCGTACTTTCCAAAAAGAATCTTGCTAAAAGCCATGCGAAATTCCGGACTGAATATCGTGTATATAACGGGATTAAGAAGACTGTTCACATAACCAAGCCACAAAATAATACTTCGGATTATCAAGGGGATTTCCACTTTGTCTGCAATAAATGGTCCGATAAGTGCCACTATAAAAAAAGGTAACCAGCAAATTAAAAACGCACCAGTTATGATGGCCAACGTACGGGCCGCTTTCCGCTCTCGACGCATCTCAATTTTTTCTCTTTGCCTTTGAAAATGTTTTGATTGCGCGGCGCCATTTGAAGTATCCAACATGGCGGATCGAGCTTCATCTGAATTTGTTGTAGAAGAATGCTCGTCGTCGGGTGCATTACCGTTTTCAGTCTTTTTTCCGTTACTTTTGTTTGACTGACACCCATTGCAATCTGACACAATGCTATATTCCGTTTTCATTGATTTTTCTTTTTTTTGTTTTTTCTTTTCCTTCTTATTTTTACCGAATTTGTCTTTTCGTATAATAGATCTTGTCACTTGCCAGATGCGGATATAGATTGCAATCATGAACGCCATTGGAAGATAAAAGGCACACGCCGTAGAAAACACGGTATAACCAAGATCTTGGCTGATAATGCATTGTCCGGTAATGTCGGGGTCATCATTTGGATCCTTCCAACCAAATAACGGTGGAATAGAAATGCATAAAGCCACAGTCCATACAAGCACGATCATGAGAATTATTCTTTGGGCACTTCGGTTACGGATATAGTCTATACTGGTTACCGCCCAGTATCGATCCATTGCTATAGCGACAAGATGGAGAATCGACGCAGTACAACACAAAACATCAAACGAAACATACATATCACAAATTTCCGAATGTAAGAACCACACTGTACTGATCTCAGTCACTACACTTATGGGCATGACAAGAACAGCAACCATCAAATCCGCAACAGCAAGTGACAAAATTAAATAGTTAGCCACATTATGTAATGATTTCTCAAGGACAACGGCAGCAATAACGAACACGTTACCAATAATTGCTGCTAATATGAATAAACCAAGGAAAACGCTGGTCACAATCAGATGTTGCTCACTGATTGGTGTTAAAACCCAGGGTCCAGTAAACACTTCATCCGTCGTCGTGTCCGGAAAAAGAGTACTGCCATTATCGTAGAAATCGTCCTCCATGATAGAAAGATTCATCAGGACACCTAATGTTCTGCCCAAAGACGTGTATAAGAGATAACGAAGCTTTTATCTGTATAAAATAAAATATGAGAAGTGTCCATCTGTCTTGCAGGCAAATAAATATGTCTATTTGCTACATCCTTTATATTTCAACATCTTCCGCTAAACATCTTAATGTACGTCCTCAATGGTACTTTAGGATCCATCATTCCAATCTGAAAATACACAATAAAACATGAGGTTAATTTAAGTGATAAGCGCGATAAGAACGTATCAGTAATTAAACTCACAATGCCTAAATCCTGTGGATATTTTAAGGTTATGCGTACTGTGTAATTTAAATTCATTTTAACCCCTAGCTATCCATAAAGTTTCGATTTTATGCAATTCATTCTGTATTTAATGAAACGTACACACGCAATTGAACTATCCAATTGATAGCTTGATAATAAAGGAAACTTCTTGTGCAAGAATTTATTACTCGCGTTTGTACTTTAAGTACGAATAAATTCTGCATCTCTCATTTAAAGAAGCGCAAATTCTTAAAGAAAACATAACTCCCGTTAACCCACTGTATGCAATATTCATTCATCTGCAGAATATAGCATTTTTAATATTAGAAAAATTTAAGTAAACCGATTTGATTTCATTTTATACTATTATATAAGTATAGGTCCAAAGCTTTTTACCATTAACCAACTTACAATACAGTCCCATTAACAATTACATCTAGTCAGGTACATGTAATAATATACGTCACATGAGCTCAAAATACATGACATAAAAACAAATGCAGATTATCTTTCAAGATTTTCATCCAAGATGGATAAAAAATATACCTGTTCCATGTTAAATACTGTTATTCTCTTATTGTTTTGTCGTAAATGGATATTTTACTTATTTCATTTCGTTATATATTGACTATTACAATTTGAATATGTATGTTTACAGGTCAGTTTTTTCCCTTTCCCTCATGTCTCATTCGAGTATTTCAGAATCGAAATACAAGATTCATGTTCAGTGCATGCGAGGATTCCATTGACGGGGGTGGCATCCGAGCGCCCCCTGGTCCCCTTTCTGGATGCAATAGGGCACTAGATATGTTGAGGGTCAGGGGGATCACTCTTAGGGAAATTTTATCTAATCTTGGAAGGCAGAGAGTACATCCAAAGCAATTTTTGTAGTGAGAGTAGAATTAATTTTATTCTTTATATCCCGTAAAATGACCACTGTCATTAATGGTATTTTCTTGTGATATACATATATTTCGCATTGCTAAATGTTAGAATCAATTTTTGATAAAGAAGACAGTATTGACCGAGCTATATATTTTCTCGTTGGCTGTATTAAATTAATAAATTAATTAATAAAAAAATTGCATAAATACTCTGATCGAAATTTGATTTGAAAAGTCGTTATATGTCACATTAAAAAGTCAGATATTGATGGAATCCGGAAGTTAAGGAGTCAATAGTATAATTCACATACAACTTAATCCAACAAATATCAAAATATCTGACAAAATAGGAGCAAATAAATATAAAACGCTTCCACTGGCCCTGTATAATCGTACGTGGAGACTTTCAAAATATATATAACAAAGAAATATTCACCACTTTAAAAAAAAAGTTAACCAGTATTTATTTAATTAAGTGAGAAAACGTTATTACATGGAAGAATATCATTGTAATTATCTGAATGGCAATCTCTCGCTGAAAAATTAAAATACCGTATTATATACTTGATGAGTCATATTTTTGCAAAAGTAGAAGTCTATGATTGGGTGTTGAGTATTTACAGCCAGGTATAAATAATGGTGTTGAGAACATGTTGAGTTTAACAAGCTGGTTTAACAACAAAATGGTTCACCGTATGACAGTAAAATTTTTGGGTATGATATTATTAAAACTCAATTTCAATTCATATTTTCTAAATGCATTAAGATATAGACAGGACAGGAATAGAACACGACATGAAGCAGCAACTTAATATATATATTTTTTTTCAGTCTGCATTTGCGCTGTACAATTGGTGTATTCAGGTAAGCATTTCACAATAAAACTTGTTTGTGGGCAACAAATTTTATTATAAAAGGTTTATATCTTTATTACAAACAAAATATAATCACCATGTTCTAACCTCCAACGTATATTCTCTAGGTTATCTCGACTTACATTAAACATTGACAGTAAACTGAAACATTAAATTTTCAGACATCATCACCAATATAAAAACTGAAGCGGGAGTTGAGACGCTACTTCAAGAACGATTTCACTTTTATTTGTTGGACTTCGATGATAACAATTTGATAACGTTGGATAATTGTTTGAGAGGCTTTCTAATAGATGATATAAATAATGATGGTAAAGTAACGTATGACGAAGTGATATCTAACCCAGACACACCAAACGCACCTCTCTATATCTTCCAAGCATGGGATGCAGACGGTGACGGTAGTCTGAGTTTGAGGGATATCATTATGTCCTTCCAGTTACTTCCTGGAACCGGAAATGAAATGGATCTGCTAGAATACTTGACGCTTGAGGTTTCTAGATTGAATGCAACAACCGGACCTACAATGAAGATACAGTCCTTTATCCACGCTGAAAGGGATTTCTTTATAATAGATGAAAATGATGATAATGTATTAACAAGAATGGAATTTCAAGTGGAATTTAGGCAAGCAGACAAAGATAAGAATGGTAACTTGGACGAGTCAGAAGTACGCAATATGTTCCCTATGAGAAGTACTCCCCCAAAACGCATTTGTCCAAGCACTACCAGCTGCTCTGTAAATGATGTCTTGCCTCTATTTGATTCAGCAGACAAAAATGGAGACTCGGAGCTCACAATCAAAGAATATATTCAGCACTTTGGGCACCTGATCGAAATTTAAACAAAAATATTTGAATCTGGAACTCCACATTCTTTGATGTCAATTTAATTGCATGATTTATTATTGAGCAGTAATCTTAAATGCATTTTGAAATAAAGTAAAATTTAGCTCTAGATATCTATTGCATTTATTTTCTATTGAGTGCTTTAAGCATTCTGACGTACGCACTTTGGACGTTTAATATACCTTTCGATAACAAAGTCTCCGGAGAAGTGTCGTATATAAAAATATATTTTATACTTTACCCATCCAATAGAATATTCACGAATCATTTAGTAGAAAGACGTGTATTTAGAATATTTAACATTGTCTGAATTACACATGATTTAGTCTCAGTAGACATTTAAATATCAATATTAATATTGAAGCAGATTGATCTTGTTAACCCTTTCAACCTCTTATATATCCTCAGTCCAATAAGCGAGAAAGACTACCGTCTGGATCCTCTTACGTTTAATCGTGTCTAAATGCTTATCAATGTTAAGGGGTTAAAGAGACTGTTTCTGATATAACATTTACGTTAGAATGACGTAGACGCAAGTGTACGAACGTTTAAAGAGATATAATCGTCTAGATATTTCCTTTATTGGTTTAGTTTCAGCTGATCGTAGCAAAATCGTAAATCAGGGTCTGGTACAATAATTCAGCCCAATCCATGGACTATAGTTGATGCTAGTGAGAGATCTGATAACTGTCAGCAACACATTTTTGCTCACCATCCATCAAAAAGCAATTCTGATAATTGTTGGTGATTAACAGCTGTAGACTACTATATCTATATCCCTTAAACATATAACAGGTTTCGATGTTTATTACCTTTAAATGATACGTTTACAAAACAAACAAACAAAACAGATTATGATCAGTCATGCCTATTAGTAAGCTCAATTGTTCTGTAGATCCATAGGTTATGCACACATTTAAACATGGAATAATGAGCACATATCAAGCCTACAAGTCGGGAATCGTTCAGCAGAACATGGTCAGAACAAAAGTCGATGAGAACTAGACACGGGATGAAAATATCATATCAATCTCTCCATATATATCGTAATCCGTTGTAAGCTTATTATCTTGATATCTCTTAATACTTTCAATGTTGGCGTTTTCTCAACACCTCTGTCCATTATTAAATCTCAGAAAACTGACAAAGCACATCAGGGTCTACCAATGATATATATACATATACATATATAAAGTCAATCGTCGAAGCGATATCTTATGTTTTAAGATAAACTTAATAATAAAAACCTTTTTTCTACAAATAAGACACCTTTAAATGCCAATTTATGGAGACGGAACAATAAGGTTATCCCTATTATCACCACTTTTTGGATCAATGTAAATTTCATAATATAAATATGTTTTCCAACGAAACGTCAATGATAATCAGAAATTGTCACAGTCATTTCATTCTGTCAGTTGTAATACCATCCAGCAAAAGGTTTTGTAAAAGTTTTCGTCGGAAATAAGAGCAATTAAAGGCGTATATAAAACAGAGTTAAAGCCGTTCATTAATTGTCATATCAAATCGTGAACAATGTTTCTAGAGGTTGCGGTGATCACAATCCGAGATACTCGTATTCGTGTCATGCTAGATTTAGGACAATTGACGCCCACGCCAATCATGATTGAATCAGATTCGACAGTAGAAACTAGCCCAATCGTATCAACCAACATAACACACTCAATAATTATATCACAATAAATGGTACCAGTATAAAGATTTAATGTTATAGGAAGTCATGGGGTCAATTTGAAGATATTACTTTGTAAATAAAATAGTCATTTACTTATATACTATATTAGTCATACTATTTCTGGTTCAACATTAGTTACCGCATCAATAACTTTTATTGTGTTAAAGACACTTTCCCACACAAGACTCATCCGGTCTGCAGACAGCATGTAGCTCCAAACAAATGTTGCTCATACAAATGCAAATTAGTAATTTAATTGGTTAAACTATTATGCTGTTGCAAAATGTGGTACGTGATGTCAACAAGTATCAATATCAAACTCTTCATAAATTACTAAAGTGAAATCCTTATAATAGTGAAGCGATTGATTTGGTTTTATGTAGCCCGGAAGTTGGTTCATAAACTGAATTCAGAAAAATGACCAATCATACTCGGCAACAAATAGGTGATAACAAAGTCTAGAAAAGAAGATATAATGGTATATATTTCAAAAATTGTGATTATTTCAGTAATAGTAGGTCGAATTAGTATCTATAACAATAAAATGTCATAGTAGATTCATTGTTATTATTCTAGCTGTAACCATCAATGTTTTTATGACCGAGACAGAATCGATGCTAAGGTCATTATTCATTGTTTAAATCATAAACAATCATGGCTATATATCTATTATTGTAAAGATAAAGTATGCTCCAACAGACACACAACACAATTTATAATTCTAATTGGCGTTACAGCATAGGCTTTTTTATAGACTTTAAAATTACAGAGGTTCCTTTCTAAATTCAACTATATGTACTGAAACAGTTGCTTGCATTGAACGATTCTTATCAATTTTCCCTACCACCTGACCTGGTGGTGACCAGTTTGAATCGGCATTCCAGATTCTCCAATTTTAGCTGTCTGAAATCTGAGTAGAACATGCCTCTCCCGCCTTAAAAAAACTCACATAACTGGCAACTCAAATATCGAAACGGTCAATAACATTAACTTTTCTCAATAAAATAAAAAGCTTACAAATAAACTACTAGTTTTTCCATACTTCTCTTACCCAAATGTTTTGCTCTTGTGAATGAAAAATTTTGTGATTGATTGCAAAGAAATAATTGGATATTTTTAGCTTAAGCTAAGATTTCATATACGCGTCATGCGGATGCGTCATGCGGACATAATTGGCCCTTGCGGATCCGTCATGCGTCAAATATGATTTCATATGTGCGTTAAGCGTATGTCTAATCTTTCTTTTGACGCAGGGACTAAACAATAATCATTGTCAACCAGCCATCATAAAATATACATAAACAAGAACGGCAAGAACGGCGATCTATTATCGTAAGGATGAGGGTGTTTTTTCACTAACTCTATGAGTTTTTCAGAAGTGTCGAGTATGTTGATTTCCCCATCTTCGTTGTCAAAATATAGCGGGTAAAAAGACATGGAATCCCCACAAAATACGTTACATTTGGGAGATCTCCGCGCGGAAAGGCGTTATTTTTTTTGACGCATGACGGAGACCATTTGTCGGATACCGCTTCCGCATATATGGAATCATATCCTCTTAAACCAACCATTTCGATTTTTAACGCATGACGGATGACTCATGACGGATCCGCATGACGCGTATATGGAATCTTAGCTTTATTATATTGTCTTGCCTTACAGCATCTATCAAAGTCCTTATTACTATTTCATTGAAGTATAGATATAACAATACTTAGTTTGGGGGAGACTGGGTTGACACATTCAGTTGCAGTGTGACACCGGTTTCATCACCTAGTTTATATAAAGAGGATTATTCCTTGAAAAGTGACATTGGGGACAATTTTGCCCACCATGTGTCATGTCTGGAAATCTAAGATGCTCGTTTGATTGGCAATGTGCACAATCTAAAACACTACCATATTATGTACAACTATATATGTGTAATAAAAACTGGCATGGTTCATAACAAACCAGGAATATTCCATAATCATGTCGGGTTATTATTCTAGAAAAATGTAGAATATAAATATAACACTAATAATGTCAATAGTGGTAATCCGAACACTTGAACCTAAAAACGGAAAGGCTTATCTTTTTATCAGAATGATTAACAAAATTGGTAAAACATTAACATCTTTTTTCACCAATATAGTAGATCCATTAAAATCCTGCAAATCAAATTCCACAGGTTAACCTTCTCTATTTAGGAGACCAAAAAACAAATAAGGATAGAGTTATTAAACTTCTTGCACGTAGTGTTTGTTTTGTAGGTTTAATTGAAATAGTTTCATTGCATGTTTCGATAAAAAAACATTATAATCAATAAGTGACATGTAGATATAAGGTTATTTTTTTTAGCAAAACAAAGCAACAATAGGAGTATTTACTATCACTTTTCTATGTGAAGCTTGTAATCGAAAATTTCAATAAATCCCGAAAACAATGGTTCCCGGTTGGGTCCCTGGACCTTCGCATGCTATCGAGGTTTTCAAGCACACTTTTTAGAACAAGACTTGGATTTAACTTGTGACTTCAACACACTCAATGAGTGGCTGAAATGATCTTCAAAGCGAGCAGTTGTTTCAGACTAAACCAGTGCTTCATTAGATATTCATTGATTTGCTGGTCCAAGTAGTTAGAATAATATTACTTCTTATATTCTGACGTCTATACACGTTACAAAGGTCATCAGTTAGGCAATTAGCCAATATTGTATGCAGCAGCTACATATGATTTACAAATAGGTCTGTGTCAATAATTTGTATTATGTCTAGCGACCAAATGTCACATGTTTTGGAACAACTTTTAATCCACATATTCCAAAGCAATTTCATTAACACATTAGCCTATTCAAGCCAGTATAAAATGTAAAACTTTAAGAAAGAACAGACATAACTTTTGTTTCAGTTTTTTTTTACCAAAAGTGCTGTTCTGAAACGTATCACTGATTTACCTGATCTTCGATCTGTATTAAGCTAAAAGCTTCTAGATCACCCCGGAATTATAGTTTCGTGCGCATGACGTGGAAAATTTAGTAAAAGAAGGTTTAATAATAATTAATTTACAGCATTGTAGAGGGATTGAATTTAATGGCGTCGTTCTTCCATGCTTTATTCAGATTCAGTAGCAATCGTTAAAGGTTTTAGACTGAACAGGTTACATGGTACAATCTCTTTTCAGTCAATAACAGAACAGTAGCGAGCAAGAACCAAGAACGAGAAACTAATTACTGCTACATTTAAACAAACAATTACTGCGAACACAACACACTCTTTCAGACGTTAACGTGGGGTTAACAATGGTGTCTGGATTGAACGA